TCCTTCTGTGAAAAGAATAAACACCATGAAGTGACTATATATTATGTACAACATCTGTGAGGTTTTCATCTTTGCACTGTTGCAGTAATTCTTTTGTATACTAATATTGTCATACTGCTGCCCCTTGTTTTTTGCTGCTCCAGAGCGGGACAGACCCACTATCTCTGGGAGATGGTCTTCTCTTCCCATGGTCCCACAAACGTGTTCCTCTTCCCTCCGCTCCCTCTACTTACCAAAGTGATTGCCAAAATAATGAGTGAAAGGCCTCGGTGTATCCTGGTGACTCCTTGGTGGCCCCAGGAACACTGGTTCCCCACTCTGCTCCACATATCCAAGGGCTCCTTCACCCACTTTTCTCCGGCACTGGATCTTCTCCTTGGTCAGACGGGCCAGGTACTGCATCATGACGTACCACAACTCAAGCTCACTGCTTGGAGGATCCTATAATGAAACTCACGGACAGGATAGACCATGTCCTATTGAACTGTCGTAAACCATCTACATGAGTCTCTTATGTCTGAAAATGGAAGAAATTCTTAGCTTACCTTCGAACATTGGAGTTGCCATCGCCTCCTATGGACTTAATGGCAATTTTTGGCTTCTTGTTGTCCCGTTTGGACTTCGGCCTTAGTTGTGCCTCGTTGAAGATATATTTAGTTGCCATCTCCGCTAATCATCCCATGGTGGATGGCCATTACGTTTTTTATTGCCTGCAAACCAAACAGTTTCTTAAGGGCCTCAACCACCTTTTTCCTCCGTCTCATGGCCCTACTCTGGCCTGGGACTTACCTCTGGTGCTCGCTAAACTGATGGGCAAGCCCTTTGAGCCTATGGCTACTTGTAGTCTGCTGCAACTCCTTTCTTGGAAAACGGCCTTTTTAGTGGCTATTACATCCACCAGGAGGGTGAATGAACTGTCAGCACTTCGCTGTGACTCTCCATACTTGAGTTTTCATCATGACGGAGTCACCTTGGCCCCAGATGTTTCATTCCTGCCCAAGATTGTTTCTGAATTCCATCTGCAGTCAGACATCATTCTCCCGTGTTTTTGCTGTCTCCCAAGAAAGGTGATGAACATCGTCTTCACATGTTGGACGTGAAAAAGGCTTTGCTTTTTTACCTGGATAGGACACGACCTTTCAGGAAATCACCAGCCCTCTTTGTTTCCCATGCCTTACCTGTTCAGGGAAAGAAGCTGTCATCTCAGTGTCTGTCCAAATGGATTGTGGAGGCAATCAAGCTGTGCTGTCTGTTGGCCAAGAAGCCGCCCCCCGGGTCCGCTTTGGGCATATTCCACCCAGGCAGTGGTGACGTCCACAACCTTCCTGTGAGGTGTGTCACTGGAAGATATCTGCAATGCAGCAACCTGGGCCACTCCTTACACGTTTGTGAAACATTACACCTTGGATGTGCGTCTTCATCAGCGTTCTGCGGTGGGACGAGCTCTGTTGCAAGCGGTGCATGTTTAGAATCTCCAGCTCCCTCCTCCAGGTAGGACTGTATTGCTTGTTAATCTCCCAGAGGTGTGATGCACAGAGACCATGAAGAAGATAAACAGGTTGCTTACCTGTAACTGGTGATCTTCGAGTGGTCATCTGTGCATTCACACCACCCGCTCTCATTCCCTTTTGCTTTTGGTTCTTTTTTCCTTTGTTCTGGGACTGATGGCAGCGGTCAGAAGGAACTGGCAGGATCGTCATGCCCCTCCCCTAGTCATGCGCACTGGAGTCCAGCACATGACTGGGGAGCGGGTGTGAAAATCCCTTTTGCTTTCCATGATACCGATCGGGGTCGGCGCAGGCACACTATATCCCAGAGATGTGAATGCACAGATGACCACTCGAAGACCACCAGTTACCGGTAAGCAACCTGTTTTTCTTATGACCTGAAAATGATGGGTTGGTTAATGCCACATAAAATCTCATTAGCCTTTTTGCCTCTTTATCACACTGCTGACTCATGTTCACCTTGTGACTAATCACAATCCTGAGATTCTTTTCTCATGTATTAGTACCAAACCATTCATCTATACTTTTTATTTAGTTTTTCCCTAAATGCAGAACTTCACATTTGTCTTTGTTAAATTTTATTTTGTTATTTTCAGTCTAGGGTTCTAGTCTGTCAAGGTTATTTTGAGTTTTATTTCTATTTTCTGAGGTGCTAGCTATCACTCCCTGGTTTCTCTGCTCTGCAAGTATGATAAGCATTCATTCTGGTCACACTTTTTCAGCATGGTCCTCTGACCAGCTTCAGATCCACAGATGGTACAATAGTCTAGTCCACAGTTTTCCTGCCAAACAATTTTTTCCCTGTCTTCATGAGGTGCAGCACATCTCTCTCCTGTAGTAGAGCCAGTTTGGCGTAGTGGTTAAGAGCATGGACTCAAATCTGAGAGAACCGGGTTCAATTCCCCACTCCTCCACATGCAGCTGCTGGTGTGACCGTGGGTCAGTCATAGGTTTTTTCAGAGCTGTTCTCTCAAGGGCAGTTCTCGAGAGAGCTCTCTCAGCCCTAGCTACCTCATAAGGTGCCTGTTCTGGGGAGGAGAAGGGAAAGGGATTGCAAGCTGCTTTGAGACTCCTATGAGTAGTGAAGGGCAGGGTATAAATCCAATCTCTTCTCTTCTTCTTCTTCATATAAAAAGCTTTGGACATGGTCCCAGAAAACAAAACTTCTCTTGACAACTCTCTCCATCGCCATTTATTCATCTGAAGTTTTCTTCTCTTTTTTTGTAGTTTACTATTACTTTTGTAGTTTACTATTATTGAGCAAACTTCAGAGGACGGCGGAAGACCGGAAGGCCTGGCGGGAGCTGGTCCATGGGGTCGCGAAGAGTCGGACTCGACTGTGCGACTGAACAACAACAAATTACTTATAGGCCAGATTGATGAGAACACCACCCTAAACCCTGAGGTTCTTCCCCTTTCTTCTGAGACACACATTGTCTGTTGTTGATATGCTGGGTGTTCTCAGGGCTTCATTCTTAATAACAGAAATGTTGGGAGAGCATACATTTCACATCAGATGCCATGTTGCACATTTGTTGTTGCCCATCTGTGTCTTGGGCAACTCTTGGGGAAATTGTTTGCCTTGGTGTAGCAGTCTTTTCTTTGCACTCTGTAGAGAGGCAAGATGGTTCATGTACAGACTCAGGCGGGCAATTCCATCCATGCAAAGGAACCCCAGATCCATTCTGGAACCAGATGCAGTCCTTTTATCTCTAGGCTTCTTGCTGAGGTGGTAAATATGATGGTCTGAAAAGGGAGCTCAGATGTCTATGTAGTAACTATGTATTTAGCTTTGAACCCATAATGATATTATCCTCTGTTCTTGGCTTGAAAATGTTTTTTTAATTTCCCCCCCACTTAGGTGTTCAGAGAAGCACCAAGCAGAGTGAGAGAACTACAGGCATATGTTCATAAGCCTTATCTTGTGCCACAGACAAGGACTCCTGGTGAGTGCTGAACAGAAATGTGTTTCTGTGGGAAAGATGCTAAATATTTTTGTCACATCTTAGCACTTTGTAAAAAGAAAAAAGATCTGTTACGAAAGTTAGTTTGATCATGAAGAGGTAAAATACATAAGGTGCAATTTCTATTAGAAGGACATGATACTGAGTAATTAAGGCTGTGTTTCCAGATGTATTTAAAGAATCAAGGCACGTGATAGTTTGTTCTTAATAAAAGAAAGATATTGAAGGCTTCAGAATGAACAAAAAGCAGCTGCTCAAGTGTTATCCTTTAGAAGTTCTACATTAATTTAATTTTCCACTTGTGTAATTCAAGGAATCAACAGCTGATGCTTGTTCATGACTCAGTGGTATTTTTCCTGCCCGCCAGCCAATTTTTAATTCTTTCCTTCTTCAGTAGGCTAGTAAACTAGGAGCAGCTGCAGGAGGAGACTTTTTTCCCCTAGATGATAGCTTAATGGTGTGTAGTTTTTGCCCACTCAGTATTTAAATGTTTCTAAGCTGCTTGGGTAATGGAGATCAAGCAGTGAATTTCTTATGCCTCAATGGGCTTGCCAAGATGAATGTATCATTCTAGTCTGAGGTGATGACAATCTTTCCTCAACCATTCTGGACCTGCAGGGGAATAGGTCAAATGATGTGTTGCTAAGTGTAAGAAGTAGCTATTTAACACATTTAGAACTGAAGCCTTAAGGATATTTAGCCATTGAGATGGGGGTAGAGGAAGATACAGAGTGCATTCTTAAACTTATGAAAAAAACCCTTACCTTTCTCCTGGAAATAAAGTCTAAACTGGGCAAATTATGTTGTGTTGATTTAGGTTACTCTCTTCTCCAAAAGACGGTGCTAGTGTCTTCTGCCACTGAAAGTGTCGCTCAAACACAACAGGAAACATCTGCACCTGCTGATCTGGATAAAACTACAACAGAACTGGCTGACTGGCTGGCATTGATTGACCAGATGCTGAAGTCCAACATAGTTACTGTGGGAAATGCTGAAGAAATCAATCGGACCATTGCTCGCATGAAAGTATGTGTTGTCATGGTGCTTCTGTTTTGAATTCTCAAGAATGTGTTGTGTTGTCCTTGCTTTCAGTTGGTGGAAAGAGGTCCTCTTGTAGTTAGTAATAGTATTCATTATAAGTTGAAATATGCAGTTTCTGAAGAAGAATCTGATTTTGGATACTATATTACTGAAATTGTTCTGCCCTATATAGACTCAGGACTGCCTTGTTTTAAAGCCAACTCTGATTTTAAAGTAACTCCTACGTGTCTTTTATGCAGGCATGTTTGCTACTGTGTCTTAGCATATGGTATGCCATACAAGTTCACCTTCATGAACAATGATCATTATGTACAAAATAGTTTCAGTGCATTCAAGTTAAAATAATGAAATTCATTTAATGTAGGTTAATTGCCTTGCCCAGTAGCTATTAATCATTGGAATCCAGCCACAGGCATCCTTTGATTGAATTTAAAGAGGTACCGTATATGAATATTTGTGTTGGCATTTAAAATTGTAGTAGTTTAAATGAATGGAAAAGTTCATGTGGACAATTTCTTAGTGTTATTAGCAATGTAGAAAAAGTGGAGAAAATGAGTAACTAATAGCTTTAGAAAAGGTATTTTAAAAAATATAGCGCAATACAGTCAGCTTAATTTCCAAGCATACCACTGTAATAATATTTGTAGTGAAATTTAACAATAGCAATTCCAATAATCTTTTCAGCTGTCTATCTCTGGACATATAACTTGCCGTATCTCTAATGGAATTCTTTTTCATGATGTAGATTTCTGTGTCAGTCACTTTCTAGGTGAAAGAAGCCTTATAAGATGGATATTATGTTTCAATATAATAAATTCTATAGAAATGGAAGTATTACGAGTGTTAAGAATGTCACCCATTAAAGGAGTGCTAGTTTATAGGATGTAGTGGAATGGGGGCAGGCAGAAGAAAAAGTTCTTTGAAACAGAGAAGCTTAGATGGGGTGGCTTGATATTCTAGGAAAATATATAAAGAGTGCGAGTCTGCAGACTTTAGCCTAATACATCAATATGAATTTCATTCTGATTTGTTCCTGCATGTGTTCATATTGTCCGGGTAAATGATGGGAAAGCCATGAGAAGATACTCTGAAAATAATACAGATTTATGAGTATTAATGTAATGGCTGGGTGAACCTAGGGTGATTTTGGTTAGTACTGTATGTGTAGAAATAATAAAATACATCAATACTTTAAAAGTGGCTTTATAATAGAATTGATTAAGCAGTTATTCTCTTGATATTAAAACAAATCAATAATTGGCATGGTATAATTAGTAATTTGTAATGAGATTAGAAACGTTAGAGAACATGACCCTTAAATACAAAAAGTGGTAATTTGGGAATTCTGAGTTAGGTGAAACAGCAGTATTGAAATGTTTTAAGTAAATCAATAACTTCTTCAAAGTATATGATGAATAGTAAGATACTCAGAAGATTATTTTGTGGGGTAGTTACAGTTCTGTTCCATCTGAATTTGGGAAAAAACTGTATTATTCATTTACTTTGAAGATTTGAATGCCGACTCTCCAAATCTGCTAAGAACTAAACTAGTAAACCATAGCTAAGAAACCAGCTAAGAAACAAATCATACCAATATCTATAATACAAAATCAATTAAATATACAAATAAAAATAGCCAATAAAAGCACATAAAATAGATCAGCCTAAAAATACATTGATAAAACTGTTCTTGAGCTAGGAGTAGATTATAAAACAATTTTTAAAAAGTGGAACACTTTAGTTTGTTAAAAGCTGGGCTTAAAACATAAACATTTTGGGCCGAGAGTAAAGTAAGTGCCAGGTGTATTTCAATGGCTGTGTTTTCCAGTAAGCCATTTGAAAAGAGGAGGAGCAGGAGAGACTGTAAACAGGATCTTAGCTAGCAGTCTTCCTGGTACTAAATTATTGGTTTGGCTTTTCCTGCTGCAAGCGACTGTTCAGCAAGAAGGCCTCAGTGAGGAGGATTCTTAAACTGAGTCTAAGAAAGCCTGTTATGTTTTCTTAGTCACCCCTCAGTGCCATTCTACCACATCCAAACAGGGTAAGGTTTTACCCAGCTAGTGGGACTTCTTGAAAGAAAGAAAAAAGGACCCCCAAGGGAGTTGGGGATAAGGATTTTATATTTAAAAAGGAAAGAAGAGTATTTTTATCTATATGCAATATAGACAAAGCAATGTTAGTAAAAAAAAAACCTGAGCCCAGGAAAGAAATTGACCAGCTTATTGCTCCAGTTTGGTGTAGTGGTTAAGAGACCCTCAGCCCAGAAAAGAAATTGACCAGCTTATGCTCCAGTTTGGTGTAGGGGTTAAGAGTAGCGGACTCTGATCTGGAGAACCGGGTTTGATTCCCCACTCCTCTACATGCAGCCAGCTAGGTGACCTTGGGTCAGTCACAGTTCTTTCAGAGCTGTTCTCTCAAGAGCAATTCACTCAAAGCTCTCTCAATCCCACCTACTTCAGAGGGTGTCTGTTGTGGGGAAAGGAAGAAAAGGAGATTGTAAGCCACTCTGAGTGAAGGGTGAGGTATAAATCTGTCGTCATCATCTCCTCCTCCCTTATTTAAAAGTCTGAGTTAAGGAAAACCTTTTGGCCTTGTAGAACTGTTTCTGGGTGAGCCTCAAGGGGAACTGCATTCCATTAGTGAGGTGCAGGGTTGGACTCTGGGTGGGAAAACTGGAAATTTGGGAGCAGAGCCTGAGGAAGATGGAGTTTGAAGAAGGGAGGGAGTTTATCAATGATGTGTTGCCATGGATTCTGTCCTTAGAAGCTGCCATATTCTCCAGGGGAATTGACCTCTGGTTTGGTGATAAATTTTAATTCTGGAAAACTCCAGACCCTACTTGGAGGCTGGAAACTCTAGGAGGTGCCACTGCTGAAAAAACCCTGTCCTTGGTTGCCAACTGCCTCACCTCTAAAGGTGAGCAGGGCTTGTGAAGATAATCTTAGCTGGTGGGCTGGGTGGTGTGATCTTTTTCATGCAATCTAAATTGGTTCAGTTAGGCCAGTTACACTTTTTCAGCCTGGCCTGTTTCACAAAAGGGTAATAAAGATGAAAAGAAGGAAGGGAGAATATGTCTTATTCTTCAAACTGCTTGGAGGAAGGAAAAGGTAAATATGTTATAGTTGGGTATTCTTCAAAACAAATGTTTGTATTTTCATTTTTTAAACAGATAACGAATGAAGATTTAGAACAGCGCCATCCCCAACTGGATTCTGTTTTTACCTTGGCTCAGAATTTGAAAAACAAAACCTCAAGTTCTGACGTTAGGACAGCAATCACAGAAAAATGTATGTTTCTTTTTGAGAGAAGTATGGGGAGAAGGGGATTAAAGTAATTCTGAAATATGTATGAGGGGGAGAATGATAGATTTGTGTTTTCAACCGCCACTGGATAGTCAGGGACCAGATCTTGTGTGGTCCTCGTTGAAACCTGAACAAATCTGATAAGTCATAGATGGACCTTGATAAATCAGAGAAAAAGCCAGTGTGATATTGAAACTTGATGGATGGAATCTATTGGGTTGAATTACTCTATGATTCTATCATTCTTTTTCCTGCACAGCATTGCCAACTAACGAATACTTTATTAGTTGGACCAGTACATCTATATTCCTGCAGACATCTTAAAAGCTAGCAAACAGGCACAACCTGAAAGTATTTTGTTGGAAGGGACCTCCAGGGTCATCTAGGCCAACCTCCTGCATAATGCAAGAAAGTCACAACTACCTCCCCCCCACACCCCCAGTGACCCCTGCTCCAAGCACAGGGGATGGAAGAAAACCTCCAGGATTCCTGGACTAACTGGCCTGGAGAACAATTGCTTCCTGGCCCCCAAAGAGGCGATCGGCATTTCTGTGGGTGTGTAAAAAAGGGCCACAAGAACTTAGCACTGTTGCAACCCTTCCTGCCCCTCCCTCTCATAATCTGCCTAAATTCACACAATCAGCACTGCTGTCAGATGGCCATCTAGCCTCTGTTTAAAAACCTCCAAAGAAGGAGGGCCCACCACCTCCCAAGGAAGCCTGTTCATTGTCAGGAAGTTGTCCTGTAACTGTCAGGAAGTTCTCCCTAATGTTTAGACAAAAACTCTTCTGATTTAATTTCAATCCGTTGGTTCTGGTCCAACCTTTTGGGGCAACAGAAAACAACTCCACATCATCCTCTATATGACAGCCCTTCAAGTACTTGAAGATGGTTATCATAACACCTCTCAGTTGTCTCCATGCCAGGCTAAACATACCAAGCTCCTTCAGCCTTTCCTCATAGGGCTTGGTCTCCAGATCCCTCACCAGTGTTCTCTCTAAGATGAGTTAGTGTGAGCTAGCTCACAGTTTTTTAGCCTGCAGCTCACACATTTTTGTTTTAGCTCAGGAAGGATGCTCCAGAGCAAACTAATTTATGCAGTAGCCAAATTGATCACTCACAACTTTAATGCCAGTAGGTCACAAAGTAGAATTTTTGCTCACAAGGCTCCACAACCTAGAGGGAGCATTGCCCCATACCATCTTCGATGCCCTCCTCTGGACACATTCCAGCTTGTCTATATGCTTCTTATATTGTGGTGCCCAGAACTGAACACAGTACTCTAGGTGAGGTCTACCCAGAGCAGAGTAAAGCAATACCATCACTTCGCATGATTTGGAACACTATACTTCTGTTGATACAGGCCCAAACATGCCTTTTTAGCTATGGCATCATGCTGCTGACTCATGTTCAGTGTATGGTCTACTAAGACCCCTAGATCCTTTTCACCCATACTACTGTCAAGACAAGTCTCCTATAATTATACATTTGATTTTTCCTACCCAAATACAGAACTTTATATTTATCCCTGTTAAAATTCATTTTATTTGTTTTAGCACAGTCTTCCAGCCTGTCAAGACCATCCTGTATTTTAAGTCTGTCTTCTACCATATTTGCTACCCTTTCCAATTTAGTATCTTCTGCAAATTTAATAAGCATTCTCTCTATTCCTTCATCCAAACAATTGATAAAGATGTTGAGCAAAACAGGTCCCGGGACAGATCCCTGAGGCACTCCACTTGTCACTCCTCTCCAAGAAGATGAGGAACCATTAACAAGCACTCTTTGGAGTGCAATCTGAAAATGTGTATACCAGCTGAAAATGTGAAAAGAATACCAGCTGAAAATGTGAAAAGAATTATTTAAGACTCTCTTGTCAAGAATGCAAGATTTCAGTTGTACCCTTTAATAACTCCTAATTCTGCACTCATGATCATTAATGTGGATTCACCCCAGGCCTGCATGGATTGTGGACACAGTCAAACAAATTGCTTAAAAAAGCTAAAGAAAGTTAGTGATTCATGGAACACTCAGGAATGTTGGTAGAGTCTTGATTTCAATGGATTAAAGACATTTGTATGTAACCATTTCAGCTGTTTTGTTTGTACCAGTATAATTACTTTAATTTTTTTTCAAAAAGCTTATTGTGTATATGTGAGGAGGGTACGTGTGTATGAGATAGGAAAAATGAGGATATACTATGGCTAGAGCTCTTGTCTCCATACTGTCTAGTAAATAGGTAGATGAATGAGAGCTATGTGTGCATGATAGCATATCAAGAATTCAAGACTTAGTTATTTTCTTTGAGTTTTTCTTGATTATAATGACGTGCTCATACATAGTTATGTTTCTGCTTTGTTTCTGGCAGTGGAGAAGGTTAAGGCTCAGTGGGACAGCACTCAGCATGGGGTGGAGATACGCCAACAGCAGTTAAGATGCATGCTTTCTGACAGCATGAAGTGGGATGACCAGAAGCAGGAAATGGAGAAGCTGATTGGAAAATACGAGCTCTATCTGCATGCCCTTTTACAGTCTCCTAAAGAGATGCTTATCAAACAGATTTCTGAAAACAAAGTAAGTTAGAACATGTTATCTTATTTAACTCCAGAATGTCAAGTTTGCAACTCCAGTTTAATATTTTCCCTCTATCTCAGAGCTTTCATGTGTGCAGGGGGAAAAAATGTGGTATTGCACTCCTGGTATCTTGTCAAAATCTTAAGGAGGTCACACTTTCATAAAAGCTTCTTGCATATAGAAACTGAGTGCAGTGCAGAGAAGCAATAACTAGAACCCTTCTTGTTCTATGGGTATAATGCATTTGATTTAACAAGAACCAGTGTTTTACTTGGCATTCTGAACTGGCCTTTCCTCACACAGCATAGATGTGTTTCTTCTGAAAAAGTTTTTACTCTCCTGACTTTCTCAAAAAAAGCTGCTTCTTCAGCTACACTTATTATTTAATACATTTTCCCCAGTATACACAGTAATCAGTTTTCAGTCTTTGCCTAGAAAAATGTAAATTCAAAATTATCATGTGTGCTTTTGCTTGTCATAGTATTGTGGGATCCTAAGAAAAGTTACGTAGTAAGAATAAATATCGGCAGTGTAGGTTTTGATCATAAGAATGTTTCATCACATAATAAGAATCAAACGTGTCAGAACTGTGGTGTGTTCTCAAGAGCATTTCATCCAACTTGTTTTATTGTGGCAAGATTCTCCAATAATAGCCAACCCAACGCTATAAAACACACTATAACATTTGTATTCTGGTATGCTGTAGAAAAGCCCAGAGTTCTGTGATACTAGCATTAAGATTACAAATAGGTCATGAATAGTTAGATACTTGCCACAAAAGTATTAATTCAATCACTGTTACTTCAGAGTAATTTAAGTAGGAACTCCAAGTTATGAATCACTAGAAAGATGACGATAGTAAATTTAAAAGTCATAATTAGCAGAAAAATTTCTAGAGATGTTGGGAGTGGCGACCGGAAAAAAGCCCACAGGAAAAAGCCCACGGTCATAAATTCTCACAGGAAAAAAAGCCCACGTGGAAAAATGCCCGCACAGAAAACTGTCCACATGGAAAAGAAGCCTACATGGGAAAATACCATGTAAAGTGCCATAGATATTTATAATTGTGGATATAATTGTGGATAGCCATTCATCTCCATTTATAAGAATGAACAGGTATTACCTATATTTTATATTGTTATTTTAGGATTAAAACATGTCATATTCACATGCTAGGGACAAAAAAGGGGAACAAACTTAACCCTGAAACATAGGATCAAGAACCTAAAGAGGTAAACAGAGCAGAGGACCAGCAATTAAAACTTAATGTATATAATATAAAAATACATGTATTTATTAGTAAAGAATTAAAACATATATGGGCCCAATTACATCTCATATAAAAATACCAAAATCGTACACACAAGGGCCAATGGACTCCACCTGACACGTTTCACCCTTTTTAAGCCTTCTTCAGAGGTCAGTGAGGAACAAATTGGCTTATACCATAATACAATAGAATTATACAACATGGATACAAAATGGACCAGAAAGAAATTGTTCCAAAGTGAAACCACTAGGCATAGAATAAAAGTATAAATGAGGCCTACCAAGATCCAGTCACATGCCAAGTTATATTTCACTGATAATAATTTCTGGTCCAGAAAGTGCCTTCCAATGATTGTTTAGTTCAAGCCAAAGTGTCCTCAGCAAAATTGTCCCTTTAGCAAGGCAAAAAATAACAACAGAAATTAAACTCTATATAGAAATATTTTTAAATAAAATTAAATACTTTAAATGTATTAATTTACCATTTGTCAACCTTTGTAATGTTGGTATGAAGTAATTTCTAAAATAAAGACAGAAAGATATTAAATTAAGGCCCCGTTCATACGGAGCATTTGCCGTGCTAAAGATACGGATGATAGGCGGATTTTCCGGGTGCGATCACCCCGCAACATCTGGGAAGCGTAGTGCACCTATGGCTAACCCGTGGCTTCTTGCCAAAGATACAGAGTAAAAAACTGGTACATATGATGTGCTAGTTTCTGGAAAACGCGGGGCAAGGGTGGGCATCTGATCGCATTTCCGCTGGAATCCCATGGCATCCGGCGCCCGCCCATGTCCCGTCGCAAACCGGATTTTTTTTTTAAGCCTCCACAGGATGTGCACAAATGCCCACCGGCACATGCGCACACTGTGGCAAGGGAAAAAAAATTCCCATTTGTTACGGAAGCGGCGCCTAGCGATTGCCAGTGTGATCGTGCCACACCGCTTCTTTGCCGTGCTGCAGGATAGCCATGTGATTGGCACCTAACGGCATACCCACGGGACCTCCCCGGGACATGTGATCGGGCTGCCATGCGTTACTTTGCTCCAGGGCAAAAAGCCACGCTTCCCCCCCGCATTTTCCAGCCTGTGTGACCGGGACCTAAATTATGCATAGACTGTCTAGTATACACAGCTTTTGAACAACTATATGGCTTAAAATTTATTTACTTATATTTCTATATAGTGTTTAATTTCTGTTGTTTTTCCTTCTTAATAAAGTTCATTGATAACAAAATGGTTACTTTTATTTCCTGCATTTTTCCTTCAAGAGCATTAAAGCCCTCTTCATACAGGCCACTTTTGTATAGTAATGAAGTAATTTACTAATAACATAGCAAATTATTATTTAATTATATTTGATAAAATCACAACACAAATTGTTGCATGAGAATATGACATGTTTTAATCCTAAAATAACAATATAAAATATAGGTAATATCTGTTCATTCTCATAAATGGAGATGAATGGATATCCATCTATGGCACTTTACATGGTATTTTCCCATGTGGCCTTCTTTCCGTGTGGGCTTTTTTCTGTATGGGCTTTTCACCATGTGTGCTTATTTTCATGTGGGCAGTTGTCTTTGGGGGCTTTTTTCCACGTGGGCTTTTTCCTGTGAGCATTTATGACCGTGGGTTTTTTTCTGTGGGCTTTTCTGTGGGCTTCTTTCATAGAACCGTTTGGAGCCATTTCGTTAATTCTCTGTCACATCAGGAAACCTAATTTTTTTGTGGTAGTGGTCCATCATTTCCTTTCTCTACCCTCACATGCTGTGAGACTCCCTTTTAGAAGAGAAGTGCTGTCTTATTGTTGCATAAAGGCAATTGTTCAGGTAAGATAATGACACCCCATGTGGTACAGGCTTATGAACAGCATTTACAGAATGAAAGGAGAATTGTGTACTTACTATTCAGTTCCTGTTCAAAGTGATTACCTTTTTTCCCTTTTCTTACTTGGAAATCATGAAAGATCCATAACTCTGTCTACTGCCTATTATTCTATGAGGTTAATTCTTGAATTTATGTCAGAAACTGGTCTTTGTGATTATGCATACTCAAAGTAAATCAGTTCTTCAGGACTTCTACAGTAAGTGTTTGGAAATGACTTTGCTAACTTTATATGCCCGCCTTCTCTGATTGTTTTTGTTCTGTGAAAAGTAAATATATCAGCCCTGAAGTTCACTTGGTCATCTTGTCTTGTGCTGTCAGTTCCCACACCTCCTGCTTTTATGTCCACATCTCTGGTGGATCTGTTTAGCACTGGGGGAAACTTTGCTCTCTTGCCTTTGTAAGATCTGAGGAAATAACTTCAAAAGTGGGGGAGGGTTGGTTATGTCTTACTTTAAAGGCTCAGCTAAGACTTTCATGAGACCAAGGAAATCCTGCTTCTTAATAAAGCTATAATATGTGCCACACAGACTTTTTTTCCCCCTCTCAGTGCTATAGATGGTTCTTTTTTTTAACAAAACAGGTCCTTTTGAGGTATTGGGAACACATTCCATTTAAATTTGCTCTTATTCCCACCAATGTTACTTGCATTTCCAGCTTTATGCTTGTTTTGTGTTTCTAGCCTATCTTTATTAGACAGAAAATGACTATTTATCAGAGACA